TGGGGTTTGATCCGTTGCCTCCTTTGGACTCCATCGTTTCCTACACCAGACCAGAAAGGTACCTCCTCCACCACTTGCTTCTGGGCTGGCACAACCAAAATGTTCCTGGCAAGCCCTCAGCCCCCAGACCTGGGTGCACGTGGGTGCTTGGAGCTGATGGTCCTCCTCCATCTCGGAGGAAGAGCTGCCTGGCTTGTGGCATATACAGGCAGGACTGGTCCTGCTGCTTCTCCTCGGTGGTCACCACTGGAGATGGTGACTGTTCACAGCCATTAAAGCAAAGGCCACAGATCAACTTCAGCTGTTTCTTTACCAAGGTGGTCTGGGATAAACACAGGCTGAAGCACAGCGAGCCGCAGTGTGCACGGCCTGTTGAGGTGAACCCATACATGTCTTACGCATTGACCCAGCTCAGAGCAAACCTGGCAGTGGTTTTAGTGACTGCTGTAGCCAGCTGCTGGCTGCCCAGGGGGGAAAAATCCCCCAAATCCCCAGGAATCCCCCAAATCCCTGCTTCAAGGCTGGCTCGGGGGCAGTCGGGTGCTGTTCTGGACATCATGGTTCTCTCCAGCATCCCTGTGCTGCCTCAGCACCAGCGTGAGATCGAGTACCAAGCTGCTCCCTTGACCCTGCTGCAACTTCTGTCTTTCAGGACAACTCATCCATCCAACGAAAGCACTTTATCTCTCTTCTTCCGCTCGCTGTTGCCAAATTTTAACTTACAGGTATGTGCACTGGGCTCCTGCAGGCGAATCTGAGCATGCTTCTGCTGTCGGTACACAGCAGTTTCCACTGCGTAGTGTTTCTGCAAAGGGAGTGGCTCTTGGCATATGCACTGTGTATTAAACGTCAGGTTGCAGAGCAGCCTGATGCTTTTTGGCAAGCAGCAGCGTCTCTCCCTGCCTGCTGCAGGCATGCAGCTCCCTGCATGGCCGCTCTATCTCTGCTGTCTTGCAGGAGGATCTCAGGCCTGATGGGGATGAAGAGGCTGGAGCAGGGCAGGACCTGAACCAGGGGGTGAACAGGCTCATGGCAGCCATGCGGGACATGCTGGCGAACATCCAGTTCCAGGAACCCCCCCGAGATGACAACCCTGAAGGAGATGGTGACTGGGACTGAGCCGGGAACACGTGTCATTCCCCACCCCTCTGTGACTGCCCCCCAACTCCTGTCCACTCCAATAAAGTGGACACAAAGCTCCAGGCGCCCACTCACTGTGGGGATGGGCTCTGGTGGGAAGGGGCAGGGCTGCCACCATGGCACCTTTCACCTCTCAGTGGGGGCTGAGGGCTGTCTGAGCGGGCAGAGCTAATCTACAGCAGCTGTCCCTCTGCCGCCTGTCAGCTTAGTCCCTTCTGGCCTCCTCCAAGCATGTTTGATGCCTCCTTCCTCTCTGGCTCTTGTCTTGTTTAATGGCTGGAGGCTTTTTTTCCATGCTCCTGAGCCTGAAGCCTCCTTCCCTCCATGAAACAGCACTGGATCTTCCAGCTCTCTGACAGAGAGCTCAGGGTCCCTGTTTTGGTAGCATTGGGGCACGGCAGAACACAGAATGGTTCAGTTTGGAAGGGACCTTAAAGGTGATCAAATCCAACCTCCCTGCCATGGGCAGGGACACCTTCCACTAGACCAGGTTGCTCCAAGCCCCATCCAACCTGGCCTTGGGCTCTACAGGGCCTCCCTCAGAGCTGTAGCTCTCCCTGTGCTCCTGGAGGGGTGTGCAGGGCGGCTCCTCTGTGCACTGCAGCCATTCCATCATGCTGGAAGCAGAAATCATCCCTCCTCTTTGTTTTCTCCGTCCCTCATCTCGCCACCTTCACCTTACAGAGCAGGGGATGAGATCAGCTTTTAACTCAGCCTTGTTGCCCACGAAGCTTTTTCCCCTTTTTCTGCTGTGTAATGCTGTGTGTTTGGCTCTGATGCTGAGCCAGGCTGTGCTGCCCGGAATCAATCCGGGAGGGCTCCCTGGGGAGCAGCCTGGATGCTCAGGGAGGGGGCTGGGGCAGGCACAGGCCCATCCAGATCCTGGCTCCCTGTGTTGTGCCCTTGCATCACTCACTTTTGCAGATTCGGCGTTTTCCAGCTGGGCTCCCAAGGCCTCCGTTTGTGAAGCTAAACATTCCCGGCACATACTGGTGTGCCGGGAGGGGTGGGGGGAGGAAGATGGGATCTGTTCATCCCGATTCCTGCTATTTACATTTCCCGGGAGGGCGAGCAGGATTTTGCAGGTCATCCAGCACCATGTGTTCACCGGCTTTGGTTCAACGCATGTCACGTGTGACCTGTGCTGGTTCTTGCGGTGAGGAAGGCACCATGGCAGCATGGGACCCCTGTTCTCAGAGCATCCGGAGCCGCAGGGTGCTCTGTGCCGTGGTGAAGGGCTCCCAGAGCCTCACAGGAAGGAGCGGATGCAGCCGACCGCAGGATGGGCCTTTTCATGCAGACGTGAATTGCCTCTTTGGCAGCCTAGCGGCTCCAGGCATCAACACCAACCCAAGGCACATGATGGTCACATGGGCCCCATGTCCCCCAGCCCTCCAGGGCTCCAGCTGGAGCACGGGTGCAGCATAGCATTAAATGGTGCTTTTGACAATGCCTACTGCACCCATCGCTTGCCCCGATGGTGTGAAACACCTTCCCTGGGGCCAGGCCGGGCCATTGGAGCCCATGAGGCCAGTGGTAGAGATGGGGATTGCGAGAGGCTCCTGTAGCAGGGATGATCCTACCGGAGTCTTGAAAGCGCATGGACACCCGAAGATGCGCAGTCCGTCAGGATGCTAGGATCTCCCAAGCACACACAGGACTCCAGGACACAGAGGACCACACACCACCCAAGCGTCACAGCATAGGGGTATGTGGTCTCCCTGGGACCCCAGGGCACACGTGGTGACCCCAAGCCCATGACTCCCCAGGGCTGTGCTGGGGGTCCGGCAACCCCGGCCTCTGCAGCAGCTCATCCCGCTGCCAGGGTGCCACCGTCATGCAGGTGACCACCCTCCTCGGGAGGAGGAGCCGCGGGAGCCGGCTTTAAAGTGGGGCAGAGAAAGGGCCCTTTCTTCCTCAACACCCCTGGCCCAGTGGGTGCGTGGCAGCAGGACACTGGGCAGAGCTGGCGAGGAAGCAGCCGTGACACGGGGGGGGGGGAGTGGGGGGGCAGGGGGCGGGAACCCTGCATCCCCAATTCCTCTGCGTCCCCTCGGCAGCACTGGCAGGCATCGTGGCGGGGCACAACGGGGGTTCTGGGGCTGTGCGGATGCTGTAGGGGGCCCTGGGGCTGAGCTGGGGCCATGTTAACATTGGCCCCCCTACGTCTGCTGCGTGAGCCCTGGAACAGCAGTGAGGGCAACCAGAGCAATACCACAGCTGGGGTCAGCAGTGGCTGGTGCCAGGGGCTCAACATCCCCAATGAGCTCTTCCTCACACTGGGGCTGGTGAGCCTGGTGGAGAACCTGCTGGTGGTGGCCGCCATCCTGAAGAACAGGAATCTGCACTCGCCCACATACTACTTCATCTGCTGCCTGGCCGTGTCCGACATGCTGGTGAGCATCAGCAACCTGGTGGAGATGCTCTTCATGCTGCTGATGGAGCATGGCGTGCTGGTGATCCACACCAGCATCGTCCGCCACATGGACGACATCATCGACATGCTCATCTGCAGCTCCGTCGTGTCCTCCCTCTCCTTCCTGGGGGTCATTGCCGTGGACAGATACATCACCATCTTCTATGCCCTGCGCTACCACAGCATCATGACGCTGCAGCGGGCTGTGGTGACCATGGCCAGCATCTGGCTCGCCAGCACGGTCTCCAGCACAGTCTTCATCACCTACTACCACAACACCACCATCCTCCTCTGCCTCATCAGCTTCTTCCTCTTCATGCTGGTTCTCATGCTGGTGCTCTACATCCACATGTTTGCCCTGGCCCGACACCATCTCCACAGCATCTCCAGCCAGCAGAAGCAGCCTGCAGTCTATCGTGGCAGCAGCCTCAAAGGAGCCGTCACCCTCACCATCCTCCTGGGCGTCTTTTTCATCTGCTGGGGCCCTTTCTTCTTCCACCTCATCCTCATTGTTACCTGCCCCACCAACCCCTTCTGCACCTGCTTTTTCAGCTACTTCAACCTCTTCCTCATCCTCATTATCTGCAACTCTGTGATTGACCCCCTCATCTATGCCTTCCGTAGCCAGGAGCTTCGGCGGACGCTGCGGGAGATGGTGCTGTGCTCCTGGTAGGGAGCGGGACACCGGTACTGGCCCGGCCGCCCCACCACGGGACAGAAGGACGGATGAGATGGGATGCACCGCGGGGTTTCCAGCTCTGGCACCCGATGCGGGCTCAGGGACTCGCGGCTCCCAATAAAGGCTCTTTGCACTGATGCCGTGGCTGGCACCGCCGTGCAGCTCCTGGGGACCACTTTCCGGCCCCACCGTCTCTTCCACGTTCGACTGCTCCCGGTTGCCACCTGCACCGGCCGCGGGGCCTTGCGGCGGGGTGCGGCCGGCGGGGCGCAGGGGCCGGGGCCGGTGCGGGGCACAGCCCGGACAAAGCGCCCCTCACCGCCGCCTTTGTTCTCGGGCCGCGCCCGCCACCGCCCGGCCGGCCCCGGGGGGATGCTCCTGGCACCGGGGACCCCCCCGGAGCGCACCCCCCCCCCCACCCCGGGCCCTGCCTCTTCCACCCCTGCGGCGGGACGCGGATTGGGGGGTGTCACCCACCCCGGCCGCCGCCGCCCCGGGGCGCTCCCGCCGCTGCTGCGTGGTCCCTGCGGCCGGTTCGTGCCGCGTGTCCCCTCCGGTGGGCGCCGGGGTCCCCCCCGCGGTACCGGGGCTGCCCCGTGGCCCGGGTGCGGGATCCCCCCCGCCGGTGCCCGCGGTGCCGGGGTCCCCGGGCCGGGCGGGGCGGGGCGGGGCGGGCGGCGGTGCCGGTGCCGCAGGGCTGTTGCAGCGCTGCGGCGGCGGCCGCCGATTGGTTGCGGGGCGGCGGTGACGTCAGCGCCCGGCCCGGTGCGGCGCGAGGCTGCTATAAAGGAGGCGGCGGCTGCGGGGCCGCCCCCCGCGCTCCCGGTGCCGCTCCTGCTCCTGTTCCCGCTCCTGCTCCCGGTCCCGCTCCCATCCTGTTCCGACCCGGCCCGGCAGCACCATGAGGGAGATCGTCCACATCCAGGCGGGGCAATGCGGCAACCAGATCGGCGCCAAGGTAACGGCGGCCCCGCCCCGCCGCTGCTGCGGAGCCGGGCGGCGGACAAAGACCGACCTCCCCCCCCCACCCCGTTCCGCTGCCCCCCCCCCGCGCTCCCGCCGCACCGGGAGGACAAAGGGCCCCGCCCGTTCCCCGCGCCTTTGTCCGCCCTTCAGCACCGCGGACAGCGCCCTGCCCGCCCCGCCGCCAGGGGGCGCCCCGCGGGTGGGTGTGGGAGGGCTGATGATGAGGGGTCCCCCGGGTCCCTGTGCCCCTCTCCCGGTACCCGGTGCCCCGGTACCCCCCCCCCCGCTGATCCCTGTCCCCCCCCCCAGTTCTGGGAGGTGATCAGCGACGAGCACGGCATCGACCCCAGCGGCAACTACGTGGGTGACTCGGACCTGCAGCTGGAGCGCATCAGCGTCTACTACAATGAGGCCTCCTGTAAGCGACACACAGGACCCCCCGGGACCCCTCAGGCAGGGCACCCCCGCACCCCCACCTTGGGCCTGGGGGGAACCCCAACATCCCTTTCTCCCCCATGCCCGGGTCTGCAGGGTGGGGCAGGTTGGGGGGGGGGGGGGGGCCGATACATGCAAGATACATGCCCCCAGCCCCCGGGGGCCCTGGGAGGGGAGCAGGGACACGTGCATCCCACCTTTGGAGCCCTATAGTTGGGGGGGGGGGGAGCCGTGCATCTGGGACCCCCATTATGTGTGGGGGGGGACACGATGACAGAAGTGAGCACCCAGCCCCTGATGGACACAACACACGCACCCAGCCCCATGGGACCCCACGGCTGGGGGGGGACACAACACACACCCCCAGCCCCATGGGACCCCGCAGGATCAGTGTGGGCTGGGGGTCAGCAGCAGGTCCCCCCCCCAGCACGGGCTCTCTCGCAGCTCACAAGTACGTGCCTCGCGCCATCCTGGTTGACCTGGAGCCGGGGACGATGGACAGCGTGCGCTCGGGTGCCTTCGGACACCTCTTCCGCCCCGACAACTTCATCTTTGGTAGGTCCCTGGGGTGGGGAGGGCGCTGACACCCGCGGCCCCACTCCCCTCCCGGGCCGTCGCTGTGCCCGGGGCGCTCGGCGGGCGCACGCCCTCCCATGCCGTGGGGCCCGGCACAGCCGGTTCGCTGCCAAACCTCTGCAGTTCCGACTTCCCACCCCACCCCGGCCTCAGATCTCGGCGATGCCGCCGGCGGCAGCGCCCTGTCCCCTCCCTGGCGTGGGCACCGGGGAGCCGGCAGCCATCGGTGCCTCTTTTCCCCACCTCGGCAGGGCAGAGCGGGGCCGGGAACAACTGGGCCAAGGGGCACTACACGGAGGGGGCCGAGCTGGTGGACTCGGTGCTGGACGTGGTGAGGAAGGAGTGTGAGAACTGCGACTGCCTGCAGGGCTTCCAGCTGACCCACTCGCTGGGCGGTGGCACCGGCTCCGGCATGGGCACCCTCCTCATTAGCAAGGTGCGGGAGGAGTATCCCGACCGCATCATGAACACTTTCAGCGTGGTGCCGTCCCCAAAGGTGTCGGACACGGTGGTGGAGCCCTACAACGCCACGCTCTCCATCCACCAGCTGGTGGAGAACACAGATGAGACCTACTGCATCGACAACGAAGCTCTCTACGACATCTGCTTCCGCACCCTCAAACTGGCCACCCCCACTTACGGCGACCTCAACCACCTCGTCTCCGCCACCATGAGCGGGGTCACCACCTCCCTGCGCTTCCCCGGTCAGCTCAACGCCGACCTCCGCAAGCTGGCGGTCAACATGGTGCCCTTCCCTCGCCTCCACTTCTTCATGCCCGGCTTCGCGCCGCTGACGGCCCGCGGCAGCCAGCAGTACCGGGCCCTCACCGTGCCCGAGCTCACCCAGCAGATGTTTGATGCCAAGAACATGATGGCTGCCTGCGACCCCCGCCACGGCCGCTACCTCACCGTGGCCACCGTCTTCCGGGGCCGCATGTCCATGAAGGAGGTGGACGAGCAGATGTTGGCCATCCAGAGCAAGAACAGCTCCTACTTCGTGGAGTGGATCCCCAACAACGTCAAGGTGGCCGTCTGCGACATCCCTCCGCGGGGGCTGAAGATGTCCTCCACCTTCATCGGCAACAGCACGGCCATCCAGGAGCTCTTCAAGCGCATCTCGGAGCAGTTCACGGCCATGTTCCGCCGCAAAGCCTTCCTGCACTGGTACACGGGCGAGGGGATGGACGAGATGGAGTTCACCGAGGCCGAGAGCAACATGAACGACCTGGTGTCCGAGTACCAGCAGTACCAGGACGCCACGGCCGAGGAGGAGGGCGAGATGTACGAGGATGACGAGGAGGAGTCAGAGGCGCAGGGCGCCAAGTGATGCCCGATGCCCCCCTCTGCCGCCCGCAGCCTCCCTGGCTTCGCGCTGCTGCACCCCCGGGCCCCGGCCGGGCTCCCCCTGCACCCCTTCAGTGTCTCCTGACCCCAACCCCCACCCTGAGCCGGCTCGGCCCCTCCCCCCCCCGCCTCCCCCCTTTTCGTTTTTTTTTTACTGGGTCGTGTCTTTTATTTTTTTTGAATACTCAATAAATTTATTGCTGTCCAGGTACCTCCTGCCTGTGCCTGGGGGGGGGGGGGCAGCGATGGGGGTGGGGACACCCTCTGCTCCCAGGGCACCCCCCCCACAGCCATGCCCGTCTCAGAGGGTTATGGGGACTCCACGTGCCCAGGCCATGGCAATGCACTGAGCCTCCCTGTGGGGCCCACATCCTCCTGCCCCACAGATCTGGGGGTGGAGGGCGGGTGCCGCTTTGCCCGGCTGTGCCTTTGTCCCCACTGTCACCCTTCTCCATGCTGGGAAGGGTCCCCCACAAACTGATCTGGGGGCATGGTACCCCGCAGTGCTGCCCCAGGGCTGTGCCTGCGTCTGGGGGATCCGGGACATCCCCAAACAACGCTAAGCCCCCCAGCTCCTGCTTGGGTGCTGGGCTGAACCCATAGTGCGGGGCCAGGATTTGCTGCCATGCTGCTGCAACCCCCCACGGGTCCCCGCGGGGAGAGGGGCTGTGCTGTGGGGTCTCGGGGGAGGGTTGAGGGCTGTAGAGGCGGGAGCTATGGGGCTGGGGGCTGTAGCGGTGAGGGCTATAGGGACAAAGAACTATGGGGCTGGGTCTATCAGGGTGGAGGCTATAGGGACAAAGAACTAGGGGGCTGGGTCTATCGGGGTGGGAGCTATAGGGACAAAGAGCTATGGGGCTGGGTCCATCGGGGTGGGAGCTATAGAGACAAGGAGCTACGGGGCTGGGTGTATCGGGGCGGGAGCTATAGGGACAAGGAGCTACGGGGCTGGGTGTATCGGGGCGGGAGCTATAGGGACAAGGAGCTATGGGGCTGGGTGTATCGGGACGGGAGCTATAGGGACACGAGCTATGGGGCTGGGTGTATCGGGACGGGAGCTATAGGGACACGAGCTATGGGGCTGGGTGTATCGGGACGGGAGCTATAGGGACACGAGCTATGGGGCTGGGTGTATCGGGGCGGGAGCTATAGGGACACGAGCTATGGGGCTGGGTGTATCGGGGCGGGAGCTATAGGGACACGAGCTATGGGGCTGGGGGCTATAGGGACCGCTGGCCGTGGGGTGGGGGCTCTGCAGACCTGGTTGTGGGGGCCGTTCCCGTGGGTCGCGCGTCCGCGTCCCCGCCGCGTCCCACGTGTGCCCCGCCCGTGCGCGGTGTGATCCTCCGGCCGGCAGGGGGCGGCAGCGCGGCGGGGCGGTGAGCCAGGAGAGAGCGCTGCCCCCTGGCGGGCGGGCGGTGGCGGTGCCGGTACCGGGGGCTGTGCGGGAGCCGGGATGGGGCGGTGCGGGGCCGGGCGGGGGCGGCGGAGGGGCGGGTTTGTCCGCGGCGCCGGTGCGGGTGCGGGTGCGGGGCTGAGGCGGCGGCCGCGTCCCGCAGGGCCATGGCGTACGACGAGCGGCTGGCCCGCTTCCGCCAGGCGCACCTCAACCCCTTCGACAAAGCCTCCGAGCCGCCGCCGCCGCGGCCCGACGGGGGGGACCCGGACCCAGGTGGGTGCTGCCACCCCCCCGCGCCCCGCACGGGCCCGGTACCGGCACCGGCGCCCGCTGGCACTTGGCCCCGTTGCAGGCCAGCGGCTGGACCCGTCTTCGGGGGACCCTGAGAGCGCGTTGGACCTGGGCCTGGCCGAGGATCACTTCTCCCGCCCCGTGGTGCGCGGGGCCGGGGGGGGGTAACGGGGCTGTGGGGGTGCGCGGTGCGCGCTGCCGGGCTCATCCTGCTGCTCCCCGCCGTGCCGCAGGGCCTGATCCTGGCGTCGGACGTGCATCAGCTGCGCCAGGCCATCGAGGAGTGCAAGCGGGTGATCCTGGCGCTGCCGGAGCACTCGGAGCAGCAGAAGGACGCGGTGGTGCGGCTCATCCACCTCCGCCTCAAGCTGCAGGAGCTGAAGGTGCGGCCGGGACCGGGACACGGGGGAAGGTGTCCCCGGTGTGGGGACGCCCAGGCGCAGGCTGACGGCCCCACGCGCGCCCGCAGGACCCCGGCGAGGATGAGCCCAACATCCGGGTGGTGCTGGAGCATCGCTTCTACAAGGAGAAGAGCAAGAGCGTGAAGCAGATGTGTGACAAGTGCAGCACCATCATCTGGGGCCTCATCCAGACCTGGTACACCTGCACAGGTGGGGCTGGGACCCCAGGGAGCCCTCACATCCATCCCGTGTTCCCGCCCCACGCTGACATCCGTCTGTGCCCCCTCCAGGCTGCTACTACCGGTGCCACAGCAAGTGCCTGCCCCTGGTGAGCAAGCCCTGTGTGCGGGCCAAGGTCAGCCATCAGGCCGAGTACCAGCTCAGCATCTGCCCCGAGAGCGGGCTGGACAGCCAGGACTACCGCTGCGCCGAGTGCCGGGCCCCCGTCTCCTTGCGTGAGGCTGCGCCGACGTGGCATGGGGCTGGGGGATGGAGGATGAGTGGGGCTGGGCTCCTCTGGGGCCTCTATGGGGGCTCGGTGGAGCTCGGGGCACAGCGGGGTTGGGGTTGTGTGGGGCTGGAGTCCCCCTTGTGTGTGGGGGGGCTCTGTGGAGCTGGGGCTGCCTGGGGCTGGGGAATGGGGATGTGTGGAGCTGGGGGGGGGGTGTGATACTGCATGGGGCTGGAGCCTGTATGGGCAGGGTGGAGCTGGGGCACAGTGGGGCTGGGATTGTGTGTGGTTGGGCTCCCTTGGGGGCTTTGTGGGGCTGGGGGGAGCTGTCTGGGGCTGGGGGATGTGGGGCTGGGCTTCTTTTGGGGTTGCAGGGTTTTGGGGTGGAGCTGAAGGCTGAGGCTCTGGGGGCTGTGTGTGGCTGTGAGCTATGGGGAGATGGGGGGCTCTTGGCTATGCAGGGCTTGGGGGGGATTCACAGTGCATGGGAAAGTGATGTTTGGGGTGCTGCTGTGCGTCCATGGAAGGACATGGCGCGGGGTGAGCAATGCATGGTGTGGCACTGGTGCCAGTACCTGTGCCAACGTGTGTGCCGGTGCGTGCCGCCGCAGGGGGGGTGCCCAGCGAGGCCCGGCAGTGCGACTACACGGGCCTCTACTACTGCAGCAGCTGCCACTGGAATGACCTGGCCGTTGTGCCCGCCCGTGCCATCCACAACTGGGACTTCGAGCCCCGCAAGGTGCCCCGGGAGGGGGCTTGGGGGCACCCCGGGGGCTGTGACTGTGGTCAGGGGAATCCCAGGGCCTCCATCCCTGGGTGGACGTCACTTGTAGGGCCCCATCCCTCATCGTGGGGGTCCCTGGGGGCCATGTCCCTGGGTTGAGATCACCTTGGGGCCATGTCCCTTGTCATGGGGGTCCCTGGGGACTGCATGGCTGGGTAAATAGAGGTTCACTTTGTGGGGGCCGTGTCCCCAGGGCTGTGTCCCTAGGGATGGGGCCCAGTGGCCATGGGGTGATGGTGGCTGCGGACGTGCAGGTGTCGCGCTGCAGCATGCGGTACCTGGCGCTGATGGTGTCCCGGCCTGTGCTGAAGCTGCGGGAGATCAACCCACTGCTCTTCAACTACGTGGAGGAGCTGGTGGAGATCCGGGTGAGTGATGGGGGGGATCCCACCTGACCCTACCGTGCAGGGCTGGGGCTGGGGCTGGGCAGGGTGGGCAGCAGTGGGAGCATGGGGTGAGCAGGAGGGAGAGGGGAGCCCTCTCAGCACCTGCTGGGTCCCACTGACCTGGAAAAGGGTAGGGGTGGGAGTCAGGACAGCAGGTGCCCAAACTGCGGCAGGTCTGAATTTGACTGAGCTTGACTTATCCCCATCACACCCCTATCTCCATCTCTTATCTTCATACTACCCTATGCCTACACCATCCCCATCTCATCCTTGTACCTGTCCCCATCCTGCCTCTGCCACCAACCTTTTCTGTCTTGTGCCCACTCCCATCCCCATTCCCTCCTGCCCTGTCCCCGTGCAGAAGCTGCGCCAGGACATCCTGCTCATGAAGCCCTACTTCATCACCTGCAAGGAGGCGATGGAGGCACGACTGCTGCTGCAGGTCAGGCCCAGGGGTCAGGGCTGAGCTGGGGGGGACCCTGGGACTGTGAGGGGGGGTCAGGAGCCTGGTGCAGCAGTGATGGGCACAGGGGTGACAGGCACAGCAGTGACAGGCTCCCTGCCTGCAGCTTCAGGACCGGCAGCACTTTGTGGAGAACGATGAGATGTACTCGCTGCAGGACCTGATCGATATCGAGGCCGGTCGCCTGAGCTGCTCCCTCACTGAGATACACACCCTCTTTGCCAAGCACATCAAGCTGGACTGCGAGGTGAGCCACGGGGCAGACCCACAGCATGGCTCCATGTGGGGCCAGCGCCGTGCTGGGGCGGCTGGTGGGGTCCCCTTAAGGCAGCTTTGGGACCTTCTGTGCTCCTGCCCCAGCGCTGCCAGGCCAAAGGGTTCGTGTGTGAGCTCTGCAAGGAGGGCGACGTCCTCTTCCCCTTCGACAGCCACACCTCGGTCTGCACTGACTGCTCCGCCGTCTTCCACAGGTACGGCACGCGTGGCGGTGGCCGTGACCGCGGCACCGGTGGGGGTACACAGTGTGGGGTGACCACTGCTGTCCCCTCCCCACAGGGACTGCTACTACGACAACTCCACCACCTGCCCCAAGTGCGCGCGGCTGAGCCTGCGCAAGCAGTCCCTCTTCCAGGACTCCACCATGGAGGCAGAGCCCTGATGGGGGGAGCCAGGCCCCACGGCCACCCCATGGCACCCTGGCACAGACATAGCCCCCCCCCCCTTCCCCCCCGGCTGCTTGTGGGCCAGGGTGGCTCCTGGCTTCAGGACCCTCTGCCTGTGGGGACAGCAGCGCTGGGGGCCCTGAGGGATGAGAGGGGATGGGGTGTGTGGGGGTTACTGCAGACCCCAGCTGCTCCTTACAGGGGGAAACAGGACCCCATTGGTGACCCACAGCAGCTCCCAGCACTGATCCCACCCACAGCAGAAGTGCCTGGAGCTCAGGGGCAGGTGCAGGCAAGGCAGGGGTCCCGTGTCATGGGGCAGTGTTACCGGCTGAGCCAGAGCCACGGCTGCACCGCAACCAACCCGAGCCGAGCTCCCACGGGCTGGGCAGGGCGGCAGGAGCCAGGGGAAACCCTCTTCCACGTCCACACGTTACCGGGATAGCGCTGCTGAGTCGGGGGCAGCACCCGGGTTTCCTGTAGCATCAATGAGCCTCTGTTCAACCCAGCACTCGTGTCCCTGCTTTGGCGTGGAGGGATGGGGCGGGCAGCGGGACGGGGGCTCCGGTGTCGAGTGCCATTGGCAGGGGGCAAAGCAGCGCGGCACCGGTACGAGCCGGGCTCCCTCTTCTACCCCCCTCCCCTGGCCGGCTCCGCTCCCTCCGGGTGCTCCCGGGCCCGACGGGAGCCCCGCGTCCCTCCCCGGCAGCGGCGGAGACGGGCGGAGGCGCGGCGGTGGTGGGTCGCTCGGTTTTACCGGAACACGGCACTGCTACATGGGAACCGGGCAGGCCCCGGCACCGGCCGCGCTCCGCCGCGGGTCTGTGGGGCCGCCGGTCCACCGGGCACCCCCGCGGGACTGCGGGCCGCTTCTCCCCGCGGCCGATCCCCGCTGACAGTCCTGCGGGCCGGGGCGGGCTCCAGCGGTGTCGGAACGAAGCGGCCGGTCCCGGTGGGTCCACGGGGCCGTCCCCCGGGGCAGGCGCCGTCCCTACGGCTCCCGCGGCCGGTCGGCGGGCAGGAAGGCGTCCGGGGGTCCCGGCGGCAGCTCCGGGTCGCTGAGGTGCTTCTTCTCGCGGCCCTGCTCCCGTGCTCGGGTCCAGGAGGGCGAGCGCAGGTACCCGGCCCTCGGCACCGGCTGCAGCCCTGCGCGACAGACGGGAGGCTCAGGCGGGTGGACCGACCTGGGAGCGGGATGGGACCGGGACCGGCCCCTCGCTCACCACCGGGAGCTTCCCCGGCCGCGTTCTCCTCGTCGGAGTCGGCGAAGACCTCGGCCAGCTCCTGGTCCGACATGTCGGTCAGCTCGGTCAGGTCCAGCAGGTCGAAGTGCACCTCCAGCGAGGAGACGCTGCTCAGGGGCTCTGCGGGCGGCGGCCGCGCTTCGGGACCTGCCCGCTGCCAGGCCTGGCGCCACGACGAGGGGCGGGAGGCGCTGGGGGGCACTCGGGGAGAGGGTAGGGGGGGACTCGTGCTCAGGGAGGATAACGGGGTCAGTGGGGGAAGGTGACCGGTTGGGGCTGCCCGGGGACCCAGGGGCTGGCGAGAACCTCAAGGGATGCTGAGGGCAGGCAGGGGACCCCAGGGACAGGCAAGGGACCCCTGGGACTGACAGGGGATACTAGGAGCAGGCAGGGGATCCCAGTGGCTGTCAAGGAACCTCAGGGACAGGCAGAGGACGCACGGGCTGTCAAGAACGCCAAAGGTAGGCAGGGGACCCCAGGGGCTGGCAAGAGACGCCGGGAGCAGGCAGGGGACCTCGAGGACAGGCAGGGGACAGGCAGGGCCGCACTCACGTCGGCGTTCGGTGACCTGCAGCAGGCCAGCGCTGGGGATGGGGATGCTGCCCTGCTCCTCTGTGGGGGGCCCGGGGGGCTGCTGTGCTGGCCCATGCGTGGGGGTCCCCGCTGGGCGTTCCGGGACCAGAGTCTCCTTGCCGAGGTCTGCAGTTCCGGCATGTGTCACATCGGTGATGACAGCTCCATCCCAGGGCACCACCAGCCCTCACGGGCAGCCCGGGTGAAGGGGACGGGGACAGCGGCCTCCCCCGGTGGGACAGGCAGAGCTGCCCAGGGCCATGTGCTGGCAGCCACAGCCCCGCGCCCCCCGCCCCGAGCAGCCCCTTTGTGTCGGAGAGACAAAAGCGCGGCCTGTGCTGGAGCCCAGACAAGGGCGGCTTGTCTGCCTGCGGTGGTGGCGTGGTGATGGACACCGAAGGAGGGCAGGAAACCCCGTGAGCCCGCCGCAGCAGCACCCAGACCCCTGGCGCACCCAAGGTTGGTGCTGGAGGAGGATGGACCCGGCTGCACCCTGGCACCATGTGCCACCAGGCCCTGCCATCACCGGGTGAGACAGCATAGGGATGGGTTCACCATGGGCTAGGCATCTCCTTGTCCCCCCAGGATGGTGACAGTGGGACAGGGAATAGAAATGTCCCCAACCCAAAAGAGCTGGGATGGGTAAAGGGGCATTGTGGGGTGTTAAGTTCCTGGTTCTGGCACATTAAGCTGCAGGGTGCCCGTGCCCCAGTACTGGCTCTACCACATTCTGACCCCACAAGGTGAGATAGACCAGGCACCCCACACTCCCAGCACCTTCCAGTCGGGAAATGGGGTCCTCACCCCACTCCAACGCTGGGAAGAGCTCCCATCGGATCACAGGTGCTGTGCGCTCCTGCCTATTTTCACCACCCTACCACCCAGCACCGGTGGGTGACATGGTGCTGTCACCCTATGGAGTGTGTCCCCCCCACCACCGGCAGTCCCCTACATCCCCACCCACCGGGACACTGCTCCCTGCCGCAGAAATCCCCGCGGGCCTCCGCCTGCATGGTCACACCACGACACCGGCCACGCCGCCCCGCTCCAGCCTGGGCTCACCGGCTGCCTGTGGGGAGCGGAGCCGGTGTCAGGGCTCCCTCGCCGCTGCCACAGCCGCTCTGCTGACTCACGTTAAACTGCAGAGCCCGGCGGTAGCCGGCTCCAGCCACCCCACCGGCGGCGGTCCCGCTCCCAGCTGCTGCCCATCCTGATAGCCCTGCCCGGCTGCCAAACTTTCGGTGCCCCGGGGCTGCCACCGGGACGCGGTGCAACCGTAATGCAGGGCACTTGTGGGAGGCAACGGTGTGTGCGGGAGCCACCTGTGTCACCATCCAGAGACTTGCCGCAGCCCTCTGTAATACCGGGGACCCACCAGCGTGGCCAACACCCTGTTCCCAAGCACCCACCCAGCCCTCCACACCCCTCCTACAGCACCGGCACATCTGTACCGGGGCTCTGCGCCGTCCTCCCGTGTGCCTCAGCCTGCCACCGGCACCCCAAACCCTGGCCTCGCACCCCACTGCTTCCCCGTGCTCCCTGGGCACCCCACTGCACCCCTACATCCTTCGGACATCCCGCTGCTGCCGCTTGTCCTCTGGACATCCCACTGCATCCCTGCAGCCCCTGGGCACCCCACTGCTCCCTCATCCCAGCCTCCCGCCTGAACCCCCCCTGTCCCCATCCCGAGCCTCTCGGTCCCCACCGCAGCTCTCGGGCACCCCCAACTCGGCCCCGTGCACCCGCACCCGGCTGTACACGCACGCCCCGTGCACGTCTGCGCCCCGCTTGCACGCACACCCCTCCGTACCCCCCCCGGCCCCCCGCATCCCCCTGCATCCGCGTACACACCCCCGTTACACCCCCCTTGCACACACCCCCGTTAACACACCCCTCTTCCCCCCCCTCCCGTCCTACATCTCTCCGTGCACCCCGGCCTCCCCCCCGCTCCCGCCCCGCGGGGCCCGGCCCGGTTCCGCCCGCTGCAGGCTCAGAGCCGCCCGGGCCGGGGCCGCGGTGATGGGCGCGCCGGTCCGTTATCCGCCCTCCCCCTCTTCTCCCCCCGCGGCCTCACCTGCGGTGTCGGCCGCTCCCGGAGCCGCCATGGGCCGGTGCCGGTGCCGGTGCTGGGCGGGGCGGGCCCGGTGCCAGCCCGCAGCCCGCACGGTCCTGCCCGCCGCGGCGGGGGCGGGGCCGGGGGCGGGGCGGGGGCCGGGGGGGGTGGGCAGGCGCGGACCGGCCCAGCCGGGACCGGGGACAGCGGGAGGGGAGGGGAGGGAACGGGGCGGGGTGGGGGCAGGCACGGCTGAACCGGGGGTGCGGAGGGGACTGGGTCGGGGGTGCGGAGGACACGTGGGGGGCACACACACACACACACGGGGGTGGGGGCCGGTGCAGGGTTCCGGGGAGGGGAACAGCGGCGGGGCCGGGGCGAGGGTGCGGAACGCTGCTCCCGGTGTGGCGGAGGGGCCCCGGGCCCGGTCACACAGGAGAGCCCCCGCCGGGCCCGGTCCGGAGCAGGCCCCGCCGCCGTTGCTAGGGCGGAGCGCCGCGTTGCTAGGGGGCGTGTCCGAGCTGGCGCGCTCCTCTCGCGAGATCATCTCTGCCGTTGCCTGGAGACTGCGGCGCCGGCGGCAGCCGCCATGGTGAGAGCGGGACCGGGACCGGGACCGGGACCGGGACCGGTACATGGGGGGCTCTGGGCCCGCTGCTGAAGGGTCCCTGGAGCCGGGGGGGGGGGGTGGTGTGGGCAGGGGGGCGCGGCCCGCTCCTGGGAGGGTCGCGAACGCCTCAGGAGTCTCCCCGGTCCATCGCTCCCCTCTGCCTCGGCCGTGAGGGGCTTCGTGTGTGGGCTGGGTCAGCGTGGAGAAGAGAAGGCTCCTGAGGGGGAGACCTGAGAGCAGCTCCAGTGCCTGAAGGGGCTGCAGGAAACCTGGAGAGGGGCTTGGGACAAGGGGTGTAGGGACAGGCCAAGGGGAATGGCTTTAACCTGCCAGAGGGGGGACTGAGATGAGCTCTTAGGCAGAAGCTCTTCCCTGTGAGGGTGCTGAGGCGCTGGCACAGGGTGCCCAGAGAAGCTGTGGCTGCCCCATCCCTGGCAGTGTTCAAGGCCAGGTTGGACACGGGCTTGGAGCAAGCTGCTCCAGTGGAAGGGGTCCCTGCCCATGGCAGGGGTTGGAACTGGAGGAGCTTTAAGGTCTCTTCCAACACAAAACATTCTGATTCTGTGATTTTTCTTATCTTTCCTT